TAGCCGATACCGGCAGAAACCCTAAAACGAGAAGCAGCCGATAGAGCTAAATTGATATGCTAAGACTAGATTAACAGAGACATATGATAAATAGGTAGGCAAATATATCATCCAAACCAGAGCAATCCAAGAGGTCGAATGTACTGATTCAGCCTTGAACGACGCCGACGTAAACGATACAATTGTCTGGGCCAGTGGAACATTGGACTTACCCCTTAGCCGGAGATCGAACACCGATGCAGCCCCGCGTCAGGTGCCAAGTCCCGCCGGACGATAAAATAAAGTAGAAAAGGTAAAAGGTGGCGATGCGCCGAATTGTATTGATCGTGAAGATAGATTACATAGACCTCGGGTATACATATTTATACCCATGGGTTGATACAAGTCCTTGTCGGACAAGAAAGAAACCTTCCTAAAGATAAAAGGAAAAGATAAAGTCCTTATAGGACACTAAACACACTTTCCTAAAGATAAAAGGAAACTAACAAACTATTCCTAATTAATAGATAACTTGCCATGCCGCATTCTCTTTGAACTCGGTCTCTTCTGGATAAGCTTCCTTTAGTAGATCAATTTCCTTAACCGAATATAGCAAGAATCCGACAACTGACGACTTGACAACTCTCATCGGCTAATCTCAGATCTTCGAAGCCGATGCTGACTCTAAGCCGATGACTACTCCGGGCTTACCAAATTTCACTGTTAACAAGCACACTCCATTATCGAGAACATACTAGACAAATGCAGAGTTGTCGCGCCCAACCTACCAACGAAGACCGACGACCTATCTCATAGCACTGGCCATGGCTGGACTACTCGAGAAAAGGTTGTTAACGGATAATTGCTCGCGAACGATGTCGGCTTGATCACCCAACATTATTGCGGACAGGACATCCAGATATGCTACGGGTTGGGTATGTGAGTCATGCTGGCCACATGAGATGCACATGTAATAAACCAACTCTAGCACCTCCATTGGTGTTCGAGAGATAATTCTACTCGCTGGTTCTTGAACCAGTACATGGAAGTAATCTCTCACACCGCAACTTCCATTGGTGTTCGAGAGATAATTCTACTCGCTCGCTGGTTCTCGAACCAGTACATCGTAGTAATCTCTCACACCGCAACTTCCATTGGTGTTCGAGAGATAATTCTACTCGCTCGCTGGTTCTTAAACCAGTATACCGTAGTAATCTCTCACACCACAACTTCCATTGGTGTTCGAGAGATAATTCTACTCGCTCGCTGGTTCTCGAACCAGTACATCGTAGTAATCTCTCACACCGCAACTTTCATTGGTGTTCGAGAGATAATTCTACTCGCTGGTTCTCGAACCGGTAAATTGTAGCAATCTCTCGCGCCTTAACTTCAGTCGGTCGAGGTACGATTATGGCGATAGCGTAGCGGTCCTCGCACCACGACTTCTGATGGTCGAGATATGACTACGGCAATAGCGTAGCGGTCCTCGCACCCCGACTTCAGACGACTTCAGATGGTTGAGGAATAGCTACGACTGAACTTCGACCGGCAGCGTAGCGGTTCTCGTACCACAACTCCAAATGGTCGAGAGACACCTACTCGCTGGTTCTCAACCAGTCAATCGTAGCAATCTCTCGTACATTTACTTCTAGTGGTCGAGTTACGATTACCACCTGGTTCTCGACCAGCGGTGTAGCCATTCTCCCACTATTTCTACTTCAAGTGGTTGAGTTACGACTACTACCTGGTCCTCAACCAGAGGTGTAGCGATTCTCCCACTACCTCTACTTCAACAAAGTTGATATCAGGTACACAATATCGCCAAGTGTTTTACCTAGAGATCCCTTACCACGACGACACCTAGAGTTGAAACCTATCCTTATATCCCTTTACGCCGTCCTGACAAGGCCTCTGAGGAACCTAAGGGAACTTCGGCTGAGGACGCCCAGAGCGGATAAGGCCTTGTTGGATCATGTAGAGACAAACGACCATGTAAGACCTGGTCATGTAAGAGTTCTCGCCGTGCGTATTAACCAAGCCGTGTGATCGGAAATTGAGTTTTCCAACTTCACGGCTGGGGGCTAGGATCAGTGCTTTTTCAACTAAGGCAGGTCATGGGTCCAAGAGCCTTATCCTCCGAGAACGATTCTCCGACGACAAGGCTAGGGTTTAGGGAGAGTGTATGAGTCAACAAACTGACTGATCGAAGTCGGTAAGAGAGAAGACGCTCATGTACAAAACATTGGTCTGTACATTTAATTTACTTTCAGTTTTCCATACATATTATAACATGTCACCCTTTGAGCGTTCGCTCAGGGGCTATTTCTATATAATATTCTTTTATGAGTATTGATTTCAGGAAAATTCTATTCGACATTGTGGAAGACTCCATGTCTCTATGGTTCTACACCAAGATCGACTAAGGCGAGCACGACAAATGTTGACAAGGCTCCGTCGCAGGCTCTGCGCCTTCTCGATCACTCGAGAACGGTTGGTGGATCTCGACAAGGAATACGGAATGAAGAAATGGTGTACCTGCCGAGATAAAATTTCTTGACTTCAATCCAAATTCTCGATTACAGCAAGACGGGAGACTTAGTCGTATGCTCTGTACTTTCTTAGTTGACGTCGGAGATTGACTCAGACAAACCCTATAGGTGCCCGCACGAGGCTGATATGGGAAGTCTAACGTTATCTCTGAACTCACCGAGAACGGTCATGTGAGCACGATAACAGTTACTCCAAGGTCTGCGGTTGAGAATATGAATTTGTTCATTTGCATTGAAGTCGGGGGCTACTATCGGGGTTATGGATACCACATACCTACTAGTAGTTGACTAAATCTCGACAGGATCCACCACATACCATGTCTTATACAGAAACTGACTTCGGATATGGAGGGAGTTCTGGATAAGGAAAGACAACCAGAGTTCTACATGGAAACGACAAAGACTACTCGGATTGTATCCATATTGGTTTCCCTGGTTCTACTCGGACAAGGGGACATCTATGGTTATAAATACAAGGCCCCCCAGGAGGAGAGGGGGGACAATAAGAGCTACAACATACAAGCCAATATACGCCAAGACAAGACGTCGGATATCGACTTCAGGGAAAAGCACGGCTAGTCCCCTACGGTGTCTCCGGATACTGTCAGGAGAGACGAAAGCGCTATTTCTGATCTCGCCGGGCACGGATTCGAGGAGGAAGACCACCCTGTTCTCGACTACGTGACGATACTTCAAACCACCACGTCGACAGCAGCTAGATAGGCTACTCCAAATATTGTACTGGTGTGATTATGATGAATAAGAGCAACGACCGACTTCGCCTAACAGGATGTAGGGCTATTACCTGACTGTTCAGGGGCCCGAACCTGTATAAAAATCCTCGTCCCCATCTCTTTTACCTCAGTCTCGTATATATCCTAGTACCAACGATCCCCATACTATGCAAATACCGGAATCGCAACATCAAACGTCGACAGAAACATTTTTTTAGTGGAACAAAAAAATGAAATGGATTCCCTTAATAGAGGGTTTCCATATATTTGTTGCAACGACGCATTCCATAATATCAAAATTCACTGCAACATTTGATCCGTACATAGTGAAACATTACGAGTATACTAGCTGAAACATCGTAAAACTACTAGTTGAAACATCAAAAAGACCATATGCAATATTCAAAAAATATCAATAAAAAGAGCTAAAATATTTTTCGTCGAAATATAATCATGTGTGGTCTTGTTGTAAAGATTTAATTGCAACGAATAGAAATGTATGATCGGATCGTAGATTGGATAATTAATTTAGAAGAAAAAACATTTTGAAATTTTTTTAAAACCACACCTTCCTGCCGAGCAGGGGAGGGAGCTCCGGATTTTTCTCCCTCTCCCGGGCGACCAAGCAGGAGGGTTTTCGAAATTCTCTTGTCACGAACTTTGTCGCAAACTGAGCTTTACACAGTTCATTAGTGGACTCTGTCTACCGGTTTCGAGTCTTCAACTCAGCATGGTGTTTATATTTATAACTATTTATTCTTTACGCGGTAGGATAATGAGGCATCTTTGGTTTGTTCAATGAGTTTTTTTAAAGTAAATTCTATTATGGTGCCGTCATTTCGTGATAGAGAATATCAGAATAACTTTACTGAGTGCTGCAGTAGGGGAAAAAAAGGCGAATTAACACGTGCATACCCCTTTTTCAGAAGAGAGAACAAAGCGCACAAGAATCTTAATAATTACACACATAACTTGTCAGGATGTATGGTTCTTGCAACGATGGTGAAGTATTCTCATAGATTGGCCAGTGTAAGAATCCATCATGGGTGATAAATGCTACCAGAAAATCGTCTCATCAGGGGTACCGGTAACCAAAATATTCGAATTTGTTTGGATTTAGCGAAAACTAGCAAAGTTTTGTTTAAATTTCATGATTGGCCTAGAAATTTCGTTCGAAATTTAATTCCGTCCGCTCAAAAATTATTTGCAAAACAAAATAGCAAACCTTGTTTGTGGGCGTGAAAGTTTTGTGCATCTTAGGCCCCGTTCCATACTCCAACTCCAAACTTCAGTTTCCTCGTTTTCTGTTAGCATGTTTTTCAAACTAATAAACGGTGTATTTTTTTAAAAAAAATATTTCTATATAGAAATTATTTAAAAAACAAATAAATTTATTTTTCAAGTTTATAATAATTAATATTTAATTAATCAGGTGCTAATGAGCTTTTCTCGTTTCACGTGCACGGAAAATATCTCTCCAGTTGGAGAGATCGAACGGGGCCTTAGTCCAACCGTTGGAGAGTTATTTGAAGGAAAACCATTTGAGTTATTAGTGGTCAACATGAAATAATAATATATAGTGAACGCTGACAGTTGTTTAAAAACGGAGAATGTAGGCCCTTTCTGTTAGACGAGAAGAGGCGATCATTATCCTCACATAAAAAACTAGAGAGAAAAGAGAGAAAGAAAAAGATATGCCACTATCACTCGCCACGGGCACGCTTATTATAAATAGCCCCCCTTCCAGGCTTTGCTGCAAGCAACCAAAACGTATAGAAAGCAAGGATGTCGTCGTACTTCCAGACCACTCAACCGTTTAGTAGGACTTACAAGATCGGTAAACCCAAGGGCGGCGGGGACGGGCAGGGAGCTGGTAATAATTACTTTATTCACTATCAACACTAATATATATAATTGATAGTTTCATTCTGCGATATTTGTGCGTTTGTGAATCGCTAGAGGGAAAACAAGGATCCGACGGTGCAGGCCGGCCGCGCGTGCGGATAATCACACACAACAACGACCACGAACCACGAGTCGTGCAGCACGAACAAGCTCCAGCTTCATCTCCGGCTCCGGCCCCCGTCTCCTACTGAATCAACTAGCAATCAACCAACGCATCCATCGTATAGATCCGTCCATCCCGTCATGCACGCGTAAGTGGCACTAAATAGTACTCCTACTCCGTAAATATTTCCTCATTCCCTAAATATGTTTGACATCGTTGACTTTTTTAAACATGTTTGTTCGTTTTATTCAAAAACTTTTGTGATATGTGTAAAACTATATGTATACATAAAAGTATATTTAACAATAAATCAAATGATAGAAAAAAAAATTAACAATTACTTAAATTTTTTAAATAAGACGAACGATCAAACATTTTTAAAAAAAGTCAACGGCGTCAAACATTTTAGAATGAAGGTAGTCCTAAAATCACCGCAATGGTACGCACAGTAAGATGAGCAGATAATTGGGACATACGTACGTTCGTACACCTGCTAGTTGCGCTGCTCCCCCGTAGTTTCGACCGGCTTCCCGTGAGATCGAATAGCATGCGGCCCAGCATGCATATGTGTAATATGTCTTTGTAAATGTAAACTATAATAAAGACTACTTTATAGCCAATGTAATAGCCAATTCATATAATAGTTGTTTACTATACTATTAATATCTGGTCCCACCTATCATACACATATTACGTCTTAGAGTCCATCCTGCAGCTAGCTACAGATCTATAGCCCGCTGTTCTTCTTTTTCTTCCTTTACCTCTTTAAAATATGTTTACAGCTAGCTTAAAGCCTGCTATTGTACCTGCTCTTACTATTCGTGTGTATGGCAAATCACGGCGGCCTAGGAGATCTGCTTCACTCCAGTGTATGTCTAAATCTTGCTTCGGGTTCAGGGCGTGTGTTGGTATTTCTTAACGACATTACTATAAATATAATTCCCAGCATGACGTAGAAATATTCATGGTATATTTATGGTCACAGAAATGATCCACAAGCGCACGGACATACCATTGTAGCGTTTCACCCGGAGTATTCCAAGCTATCGTATTTATTTAATCCCAAGGGAAGATATGACAAGAGAGTACTATGCTAATAGTTTATATATTACTTGTATACATCAAGTTTTGTGTAGGGGTTAAGTGATTCAAAGGGTAGGTGACATACAGAAGAAAGAACTAAGATTCCCTCACTAAACAAATACTAAGCTAAGTGGAGAAAGAATAAGAAAAGAATTCATTCCTATACTTCTAATATACATACATCTTTAGTCTACACTTGCTAGTATACAGTCATGCAACCAATACCCTTAACAGTGCCCTCCTGGTGTTTCGAGAGACCACCCTTGGTTGTCGAGTTTCTTATGACAACCTGTCATGACCATCCAACCTCCAACCGGAGCTAAATAAGGAGGAGTAACCTCCCCAGGAAAGTGTACTTAGGATTATATACTAACGTGTAGGAATACCCGTACTGAGCTGTCACCATCAGCGGCCCACCTCTACTGTCCCGCAGCATATAACCCTAATTAATGGTATCCAATAATCTAAGCACCGTGCTTATATTACTAAATACTACTCTGCATCCTTGCAGCTGACATAGAGCAACCGAATACTCGAACATTAAACCCACATCAATGTACCTCTCTGGTAAGCTAGTTACACAGCTATATCGATGCAAGTATAAAGTAAAGTCGATACTCAAATAATATGAATGGAATAAAATACCGAAGATGTATAAAGAAGAATATTCTATTAATTCGATAAGTCATACAAAAGAAGAGAGGAAAGCTACTAGAACCATACCCGAATTCTCCTGAAGACCCGAGGACTAAGAATACTATTTTAATTCCTACTCCACTAGCACTAGGATACTACTAAACTTGAGAGAGGGAGAGAGCTCTTCTTCTTGAGTGTGTGTAGAATGGAATGAGAGGAGTGGTATTTATAGGCCATTAGGTGCCTTGGGAGTGTGGTGATGCTCAAGATATCCAATAAGCATATTCCCTCTTGCTTCACCTCCTTGTGCCAAGTGTCATGACGGTTGCTTCGGGTAGAAACGGTCACAACTGCCATGGGATGTCGATAACTACCAGCCTGTGGATTTTCTAGGCCATCTGGGCTGTTTTGGGTTTGGCCAAACCCAAGGTTCGGCCGAACCCTGGACTGGCCCAATTGGCCCACTTTTTGGCAGGTGTATCTCTCGGTGGATCCTCAGCCCAGTGGTGTGAATTTTGGGCTTGTTTGCTCGTGTTAATTCTGTGTTATGAGCCCATCTATCTACAAGTCTGCTTCTCGACAGCGTTTGATTGATCGTTCGTCTATTTTCTGTTGATTCTCCTCCATTTATATGTGCTTCTCCTGCATACATGTTAGTAGCATAGTATATAGTGGGAGTAGATATTTTATTTGGAAATTTTGCATTGCAAGCATATCTAGTCTTCATTAATTGGGTAGTATTGACGGTCAAAATTGGTCGATAATGACCGTCAACAAACCCCCCAAGCTTAAACCTTTGCTCGTCCCGAGTAAAGGACAAAAGAAAACAAAGACTTGGTTGTTGATTAGGAGTTGCTACTATACTGTATATCTCAAATGTACAAGTGTAAGTTATGGGTACTCTCTCTCAAATTAAATAAGTTGGCACGGTGACTTACCCTTACACCTAATTCCCGCAAGACACTGCCTTTCCTTGTCTTGAGCGGTTGAGAGACAGAACAACAATTAGAGCACTAGTCACCCACTCTTTATTCAACTTTTATTCCGGGAGTTTCCAAATGATTTTGCAAAAAAATCCAAGTTCCTCATATGATTCTCTTGATCACTCAAAGTGTATGAATATGGATTCCTCACCAAATTTGCCTTTATGATTCCTACTCTAAGGTTTGATATGTGGAGCTTGGTAGGTATCAAATGTGGCATACTTACATTCACATTTATTACTAAGTCAAAAATTGGACTAAAGCAAATGACTAGACATACTCAAGATCAAGATCATGCAAGTGTGTGAGTAATATGGTGGAAATGGAATGTGGATAACAATAAAGAAAATGCTTCTCCTTTATGCATACTTTCTTCTCCAAAATCCTCCATTCATAAATATGGAGAGGGCATGGCTATATTTTTCTATATGTTTTTTTTATCATGCTCAACATCTTTGAAAGAGCAGAAATTTATTCTTTTCATAGCCATGCCTTTCCCTCCTCTTTTTTTTCGCAAAGGATTTTTTTCTAGGAGAAGAAAGCATAAATTGGAACGGAGATTATTTTTGGATGATGATGAAATGGATATAGTGGATAAAATGGATGCTAGCTTCCAGTGTAGAAATTTAGCATATGTGTGCATATGTGGGTGTATGATCTTGATCATATGGTATGAAAAGTATCTACACAAGTCACAAAATTTGACAAAGTTCAACGGAATTACAAGCAACCAAAATGTATATAGTTTATCAATACGAATATTTTTGACTCTGGTAGGAATTCATATCAAATGAGGAACTTTCAAGTTTATCATTTTTGAAAAATAAAACATCTGGAATTCAAGTCAAACTTAGAACAGGATTATAGCAACTCTTATTTACTATCTCATATCTCGCAACAACCTAGACTTAGATTAGCAAGTGCAGCTCACTTCCCTCAGGTTCCCAGATAATGTTTGGCTTTTCTTACTCAACTTTTGAGAGAGTACTTAACCATGAACCCATATATGAGAGATATAAAACAGAGCAACTATTCATCATTTCAACATGAAGAACTAAGCATGTCTTACCTAGCATATTAAATCTAACCTATCTTTTTGGTATTGCAAGTTTTTGTGTTGTTTTAAGTTTTATAAATGCAATGCAAAAATTAAACATGCAACTTGAAAGGGAAACATGTAATGTGATACAAGTTAAATATGTAATGTGATACAAGTTACCTCAGTGGGGGAGAGACGTCTCCCCCTAAGCTTGCCTTTTACTCAGGGCCCTTGATAGGGATTGAACCCCTGGAAGCGGAAGTAAGCTTGGAGATTAGCGTGCTGTTGCTGCATCAGATTGTTGATGTTGGTAAACTGTGCATCAGCATTTCACTGCCATTCTTGCGTTTGAGCTATGTGTCCTTCGAGGTTGTGCTAGATTTTTCCTGCTTGCGGTTCAAGGGTGTCCATCCTCCTAGTGATCTCACCCAAGTCCCATCGAGAGGAAGTCGAACGCTACCAGTTGGAGAATGGAGGCATGCCGCTTGAACTAGAAGAACAGGAGTTCATGTTTCCCCACTACACATCCTGAGGTGCTTGCCACTGGTTTTCTGTCACATCCTGATTTTCGTTTCAGGATTTATAAATTATTTAATAAATTATTAATAGAATTTATATTAAATGATCTTTAATTTTCAAGTGAAGTAAAATGTGGGAAATAAAATTTCTTAAATCTAAAGCATGGATGGATTTAATTTTTGTTAAATTCTCCATGGTTAAGTCAACTCTCTGAAATTTTCTCGGATTTTTCAGAGCTCAATTCTTAAATAATACAAAGAACAGTTCAGTAATTATTTGATCATTAATGATCTAAGTATAATTGTTAAGAGCTTTTCTTGTTTAAAAATCCTTAACTTATAAATTGTTGTTTAAAAGGAATTATTAGAAATGATTTTAAAAGCCTAAAAGAGAAGATCTAATTTTAATTTGCTAAATCTCAATATAAAAAGGGGCCAGATAAAATTTCATTAAATACTTTGCTTAATTCTATAATTCCTAGATTTTTCTGGGATTTATTTGAGCTAAGGAAGTATTTTTTAATAAATGGAATTGCATTTAAGAAATAATTTAATTGAAAAAGGTTTTAAAAAAAGTCTTCTTTTGGCTTTGGGCCGAAAGTCGGCCCAAAACCTCTCTCTTTCCTTTTCTCCCTCCCCGGCCAGTCGGCCCAAGTCGGCCCAGTCCGCGCCGCCGCTCTCCTCTCTCTCTCAGCCGCTGACAGGTGGGTCCCGTCTGTCAGGTTCGTCTTCCTCGAGCCGCCGCTGCCGCCCGAAACCCTAGCGCGCCGCCGTCGCCGTTTCCTTCCAAATCCGGCCGCTCCTTTCCTTCTCCGGCCGAATTGATTGAGGGGAAACAATCTCCGGGATCTCCTCTACCTTTTCTCCTTTGGAAACATCGGCTAAATCGTTTTGGAAGTTCGTGGAATAGAGTTCGATTCGGATCGGCCTCTTTCCTTCAAGCCGCGAGCTTTCCTTCTCGTCGCCGGCCGCCGTGGGCCTTTGCCGCCGCCTCCTTGCACCTATATAAGGACCCCCGAGCTCCCCTCTACCCGTCGCCTCCTTTGCCTTAGCCTGCCGTCGCGTCTAGCGCCGCCTCCGCGTAGCCCTAGTCGCCGCCGTCGTTGCCGTCGGTTCAGCCGCGCCGCGCCGCCGTTGCAGTCGCCGTCGTTGCAGTCGCCGTCGTCGGTCGCCGTCGCCACCATCGGGTTCGCCAAGTCGTCGCTGTCCCCGTCCACCGCTTCGCCGCCGCCGAAGACCGTCGGAGTGCCGTCGCCGTCGTCGACCCGAAGAGCTTCGCCGCTTCCTCCTCGTCGCCGCCGCCGTCCGTTGGTCTTCCGCCGCCGTTTTGGTCACCGGTGAGTTCGCCGCGTCGTCCTCTACGTGCTGGTGCCCTCCGTTTGTGCCGAAGTGCCGCCGTTCGCCGGCGAGCGTGCGCCGCCCGAGCTGTCCGCTCCGCCGAGCCGCCGCCGCTGTCGGTGACGTCATCGCTGGCGTCATCGTCCCTTTTCCCGTGAGCCGGTCGTGGACCGATCGATCTCAGCCGTCCGTTTTGGATAGGGTTGATCTCGGCCGTCCGTTCCCGTGAACCGCCGCCCGTGCGCCCGGTC